TGGCACTTGACACATTCACTATCTTGTGTGACTACCACTTTTTTTCGGAGCTCTTTCAGAGGAGTTATTTGCTACAGAATTGCTTGAGGCCACCAGTGAGATGAACTCAGGATTTCTGCGTTTGAAAGGATTTTGCTCGCTGCTTTATTTTTACAAGTGCTGCAATATGCAAAGAGCAGTTATCTTTGCCAGCATTTGACATGTCTAGAGGAGGTTAAAATGTTAGAATCTATAGAATTAAATGTCTAAAAAATTTTTTTAAATTAATTTCTTATTTGGACAGGTCCTGAGTTGAAATCACATTCATCTGCAAAAAGAACTGTTTTAGGTCAGAAATATTGTATTTTATAACTACGGATCCTGACCTTGGACTTGACAGGTGAAGATTTCCAGGCGCTGTATGAATGGCAGGACAGAAGCCGTTCACTTGGCCTGTTCTGACGCGTCCTACCTGGCTTGTGAAAATTTTATAAATGTTTTTGAAACCCAAACCTCTGGCTTCTCTGAAACCTATTGTTTTAATCTGATGCTCAATACTTTTTTCAACAAACACACAAAACTCTTCCCTGCAAGATCACACATTTAAGTGTCTGTTGCCTGTGAACAGACAGAGAGAAACCAAGTCTGGATGTGAGCGAACACGTCCACACTGTGGCTGTGACTTCCTGGTGGCTGTGTCAGCTGCGAGGACGTCCCTCGCTGGCTCTGCACCTGCTGTGCCCCAGAGGTGGCCACCGGGCAGCCTCGGCCTGAAGAGGGTGTGGCCCCCAGCAGCTGCTCGACAGTTGAAACCTCCAGCCCTTCTCCCAAGCCAGCTGGCTTTTCCACGCGCACAGCCTCCTGAGCACGTTTCACTGTATTAAGCGTGGGTGCCACGCGATAGCTGAAAACAGATTCACGGAGGAATCTTGCATCTTCGAACATCTCTCCAGCGCCTTTGGGGTAGGTGAGAGGGCTTTCCATGGTGGGGCAAGGTCTGAGACATGGAAACCAGGTCCAGGGACAGAACATCCACTGGCCCCCCCAGCTGAGGATGATGGTGAGGGCAAAGCCACCCCTCCCCGGTGGGATTGTGACTTCGCTCAGCGCCTTTCGCACTGTCCCCTACAGCCCCACCCCCAGGACCAGCCACACTCACAATGGTGAGGATCTGCGACCACCACTTCTGTTTACTTTGAGAACATTTTCATCACCCTGGAGAAAACCCTATACCAGTAAGTGGCTACTCCCAGTCCCCCTCCCCAGCCCCTGGCAACCACCAATCTGCTCTCTGTCTCTCGATTTGCCTGCTCTGGACATTTCATATAAATGGAATCATACAACATAGGGCCTTGTAGGTCTGACTTCTTTAATATTTTATTGTGGTTTTATATAAATAAAAACATAAAACTTACAATTGTAACCATTTTAAGTGTATTTTTTAAGTGACATTAACTACATTCACATTATTGTACAACCATCATCACCATCTGTCTCCAGACTTTTTCTTCATCTGAAACTGAAACTCCGTCCCCATTAAACGCGGACTCTCCGTCCCCCCATCCCAGGCCCTGCACCCACCATCCTACTCTCTGTCTCTTTGGATCTGGCCACTGTCAGTGCCTCCTGCGACTGGAATCACACAGGATTTGTGCTTCCGTGACCGCCACATTTCATTTAGCGTCATGTCTTCAAGATAATGCTGTTGATTTTTGTAGGTTGGTCTTTTATTCTGCAACCTTATTGAACTCTTATTCTAATAGATTTCCAGTTGATTCTTTTGTTTTCTCTAGGAGGATGAACATATCTGCTGCAGGTAATATCAATTTCGTCTCTTCTCTTACCATCCATAGGCCTCTCATTTATTTTTCTTCCCTTAGCACGTGGGCCCTGATCTCCAGTGCCATGTGAAGCAGCAGCCGCGGCCGGAGCGCCCTGGAACCACGCCAGACCTTCAAGAGAACGCACCAGAAGTTCCTCCACTTAGTGTGGTGTTTGCTGGGAGGTTTTGGTTCGTAAACTTCATCGCGTTAGTGATCCTGCCTTCTATCCCTAGTTCGCTATGAGGTACTTTTTAAACCATAAATAGGCTTTGAGGCTTGTTAAAAGCTTTTTCTGCGTCAGTTTGAGGTAATCTCATTTCCTCCTTCAGTCTATCGAACTATCCTCGCATTCCGAGGACAAGGCCCGTTTGCCGCCATGAATCATCTTTAGAACATTATTGCACTTGATTAGTTGCAGGGAGGATCTTGAGCCAAGCTCCCGCGTACCCCTTCCCTGCAGGTGGGCACAGCAGGCAAGTCCCTTCCCTGACGTCTGGGGACATTGTGAAGCTCCCGGGAACTCGAGGGACCGTGGGTGGAGTCCTCACCGCACCTGCAGGGGTTAGCGTTTTGTGAGATGTGAATTCCAAAGGCATTTAGAAATGTTTACATGGTTCTCAAGAAAGAAGATCCAGGCACAGGGCATATGGGCAGCATCTCAGAAAAGAAAACGTCACCTCCAGGGAAGGGGACACAACAGGAAGGGAGGCATTTGAAGGATTGACACATTCGAATCCCCAGACTCTCACACTAACTCCTTTTCATGCGGGACATGCCTCCAGGGGAAATGCCCGGCACCACAGACGCAAAGCCCCTGCGAGCCACCGTTTATTCAAATAAGTGAAATTGCTGTGAAGCGCCAGCACGCCATGACCCTGGACCAGAAAAGTGTGACCCGAACCAGGCGCAGATGCTGCACGTTGAGGCGTGTGCTCCTCGTTGTCACCCAAGCCAGCCAACCTCACATCCCCTTCTCAGAAGAGGCCACCAAAGCCACAGCTGAGAACAAGACCACCCGGGGGACAGAGGGCAGAGAAAGACCCTGGATCGACTCCCGAAGGTGTCCACATGCTCGACCAGGGGCAGGTGTGTACCAGGCACCGAGGCTGCGACAGCAGAGGGTGAAGACCAGGTCTGGAGGGATGTGGCCTTCGGGGGGCGCTGCGCACTGAGCAAAGGAAAGGAGGAGGCGTGAGAGTCTTGGGGACAGTATTCCCAGCAAGGGCAACGGCAAGGGCAGTGGCCCTGGCAGGGAAGAGGAAAGAGCGGGCAGGGTGAACGTGAAGAGCCGGGCCAGGCACAGGAGGCGGGCAGGTGCTAGAATCACGGCCACATCCCCAAAGGGCTGCTCTGCCATGCCGGGTCAGAGGGGCCAGCTCTGCTCTGGACAAACACCAGGCGAGGGCCAGGAGAAGTGCCAGGGACCTGCCCCGGGGCCTGAGAGCAGGGCTGGGGTTAGAGCCTGCTGACCTACTGAGCACATCTTCCGTGTCTGCATGGCGGGGACTGCAGTGTGGATCTGCTTACAGATGTCCAGATGGTCAGAAGGCAGCAGCCACAGGGAGGCTCTTTCAGTGCATGGAGAAGTTCAGTGCAGCCAGGGATGGGCTTCCCAATGTCCACAGCAGTGTGGCAGAGACACAGGTGGGCAGCCGGGAGGACTCCGTGGAGTGGGTGTGCCTGGGGTTTGTGTGTGCACACTTGAGCACACGTGTGTGTGCATGCATGTGGGCATACGTGTGTGCAGGTGTGCATGTGTGGCTGTGTCTCTCTCACACATCCCACTATCCTGCCCCTGAGAAGACCAGGTCCTCTGGCTGTGGAGGACACAGTCGGGCCCTCAGCCCGGAGGAGCCTGATCAGCACCCAGGTTATCTGAGGTTCATGGAAGCTGGGCTCAGCCAAAAGGTCAGAACCATCAGAATCCAAAGGCTCAGAGCAACAGCACGGCCCAGAGCCAGCCAGGCATGTGGCCCACCTGTGAGCACAGGCCCACCTACGCGGTCAGGGGCCTGGGTGTGGGGTCCGGAGCAGCCCCCCCATGAGGTCCCCCAGGGTGTCTGACTCAGCCTCAGAGGGCTGCAGGGCCACGCCCAGCCCTGTCCTTTCTCCCTGGAATGGGAGGTATATTTCCTTACAAACATTTTTCTACGTGTTGATAGAAAGAAATATGGTCTAGGGCTAAAAAAAATCAAGATGCTCCTTCCACTCCAGGTCGTGCTGTGAGTATTTTCCGCCTGTTGTTATTACACAGGCACTGCATGCGGTTTCAGAGCTGAATGTCATCATATTGTTTGGCCATGACAGGGTTCTGGGGGCAGTGGGGGGCGCACCTGGTCCCCATTTCCAATTTAAGAATCCAGGATGTGGCCACAGAGCCCAGTGCTCTGGGCACCAGACACTGCTCTGACGCGATACAGCGACTTCATAGTCTGGCACTGAGTAGGGGACCACTGTGCTGGCCCAGGTCCAGCCAGGAGGGGTCCCAGAGGCTTGCTGGAGTCCCTCGGGGCCAGGTGGAAGGCGCCCCCTTGATGGCCATGAAGGGCTGGGACCGACCGCACATCAGCACTTGTGGCTGCCAAGCAGACACTGAGCAGCCAGAGCTGTGAGGCCCCCACCCCACCCCCACCCTCATCCCCCTCAGGTCCCCCACCCCGCCCCCTTCCCTCCTGTCTTCTGTCCTCCTCACACGGACCCCAAACTGACCACAATGGGCCTGGTGCTTCCTGTGCTTAGGGGCAGTTCCAGGGTGTGTGTCCACGGCTCCCGCTGGTCTGCTGGCGGCTGTGTGCTTCACATCAGTACCGGTCAACTTTTGGATTTTCTTCCAGCAGAAGAGGCTCTGCACGCCCTGGACTGCTCCCAGCGTCCTGCAGTCTTGGCTCTCGGGGAGATTGTGGCTCACGGCATGTCCCCTCCAAGTGCACCTGACCCCAGGCCCGGCACTCCCCTCTCCCCACCCCCGCCTCAGATCCTATGCTTGCTGGGGGGCTCCTGGGGTGGGGTCGGTCAGACGAGGACACAGGCTGGGTGAGGACGCCCCGCACCGGGCCTGGGCGGCTCGAGGCCTAGGGAAGGAGTGTCCTATCTCCAGTCCAGGCTTAAGTCCACCTGGAGCCCAGACCAGCCCCAAACCGCTTCCCTGGGGCCCATCCCTACACATCACAGGCCCAGCTCAGCCAGCCACACCCGCCACTGAGGTCAGGGAATGGGGAGAGCTCAGCGTGGCACAGGGGTGGCCCCCGCCTGGCCTCAGAGTCCACATGGCTGGGACTCTGAGGACGTGCCCAAGAGGGAGAGCAAGGCCTGAGGGTGGGGCTGCCAGGAGAGGCTGCCAGGGTCTCCCATGCAGGACAGACACACAGCTCCCTCCCCACCAAGGCCCCCACTTCTGGGACAGGGCAACCATACTGAGCCCCTAAGACCAGATGACTACCAGATGGGGAGCCGCTGTTGGGCTGGGAAATCTGCCCAGACTGGTCAAGAGGCCGCCCCTGGGTCTTGGATTTTGGGCATCTTTCCAGGCCACAATCCTCATAAACTGAAGGTGCTCCAGAGCCGTAGGCTCCTCTAATCGTTTTTGTCTCTTTATCGCCTCATCAGAACACAAAGACCAGGGGCACGAGGGCGACAGGGACATCAGGCTCTGTCCTGTGCTAGCACAAGCCACCAGCCCGGCTCCCAGTGGCTGGGGTTCCCCACGCCCCTCTGCACAGGGGACCGATGGTCCAAGGCATCCCCCACCCTGTCGCCTCCTCCCAGGTGGGAACTCTTTGCTTTGCATCTCCAGGAAGCTGCCAGGCACATCCCAGCTCCCTCCTAGAGCTGGGGGCTCTGGCACCCGCTGCCCCCCTCCGCATGCTGACAACCCTCCCTGGTCACCAGGCACTGCAGTTTGCCCCTGTGCTCCATGACTGTGAGCAGCCTTCCGTGGCCTTCGTCCTGGTGAGCCCTTATTTGCCAAATAAATATTTGCCCAGGGTGGGGCTCAGTACTCAGGGTTAGGTATTAAATGGGCCTGAAGTCAGAGGATCCCATGGCAGCATGGCGGGGCTGGACCTGGGCCTCCCCTCAGTCTCGAAGGCAGAGCTCCTCCTGCGGGTACACACGGAGCTGCGCATTTCCAGGAGGAGCATGGAGGCCGCAGGAACCCAGGCAACGAGAGGGGCAAGGAAGCCACCATCCACACCAGAGGTCGGCGGAGCATGGCAGGGTCCGGGCGCAGGGTGCCGTGCGGGCAGAGGGACTTCTGCAGTCGGACTTGCTGGCTAGCCGTCGGGCCGCTGGGCGGCAACGTGGTCTTGGCAGCAGGGACTGGCTCTTTGCGGGAGGGACTGATGGGCGAATGTGAAGGCCGCCACCCCGTGCGCCCGTCCCCCAGCACCTGTCCCCATGGGTGCCCGCCTGTCCCTGCCAGGGGTGGCGTGTTCTGTCTGCTGGGGCTTGGTGTGCTCCACCTCCTTTACCTGGGCTCCCTGACCAGCCGCTGCAGCCTTTTCGGCCCGGGAGGCGAGCTGGGTGGCGGGACCTGCGGCCAACAGGGGCACCATGGACTTGCAGGAGATGCTGGCCATGTCTGTGCTGGCCCCTGTCCGTGAGAGCAATGTCCTCCACAGGAAGTCCATGGGGAAGACACGCGAGGGAGCCGGGGACAAGACATCCAGCTGCAAGATGTTTTCCCTGCTCTAGAGCACCTTCCCCAGCGTGCAGGTAGACATGGAAGGACACATGGGTGCAGTGGTCGGGAGGCTGTCTTACAAGTCACAAGGTTCCTGAGGTATCCTGAAGGAAATAAATATCTCTGAAGAGGTGCCAGCAGAAAGAGGGATGGCACTGACCCACCTGATGCTACAGGAACACAGAGGCTCCTCGAAAGTGCGTCACTACAGCGGTGTGAGTGGCCGTAAGCGTAAGCCTGTGCTGGGGTAACGCGTGAGCCGTTTTCTGGATATACAGCTTGGGCAATGTAGATGGTGGTTCCAGCGTGAAAGCCTGCTCCTTCTACCATGACAGCACCCCGAGGATTGAGGGGTCTCGCTCCCACTCGGGGATGCTCAAACGTCGCTCTGCTGACCTCTGGAAACCAGACTACAATGATCCTGGCTGGTGGTTATAAGGTTATAAGGTTCCGGCAGTCTTAGATGTGCGTGATAGGAGCCAGGAAAAGGCTGACCTGTGTATCCATATGACGTACATCAAAAAGTGGGATACAGTGTGCAGGTAAAGCCATCTTAAACACCTTTGGGGTGCACACGACTACCCTGAGTGGTAAAGAAACCAGACGGCTCAGACGGCAGTGAAGGGACGCCTTGCCACATCGGATGAACCACCAGGCTCTGGTCAGAAAGCTCCCAGATCTAGAAAAGATAGGACATAAACAAGCATAACCGATTAGAGGGTGCGACTCTTCCAGACCTGAAGTAGCCGGAGAGGCTGGGAGCTTCAAAGGATCGGTGGAGACTGTGCGTGGTTAAGGACATCACAAACTTTTTAAAGTACTTATGAAGCATCAGAATCTTATCTTCCCTGTAATAAACGCGAGATCAGGGAGAATGGGTTGCTTCGTGTCTCCAGTATGTTTGGACTGTTTTCATACAGTTGCCATACAGGAGGCGCGTGCGCGTATGTGTGAATTAAAATCTGTAGCCGAGTCTACATTGTCTCACACTTCATCACAAACCTTCACTGCTTGTTAGTACTTTCACGTAGCACTCACTGGCTTGTTTTTGTCCAGCTATTTAATACAACACTGAGATTATATCCCATTGGAAATAACGTAATTGGGGATTTTTACCCCTAATTTGGGTGGAAAGCACAAGAGGCCACGTATTCATTAACATGCAACAAATGCCCTATTCATCCGTTTCCGAATGTTTTTACATATTAAAATAGAAAAAGCTTAAACTGATTTTTTCTTTGAAATTTTAATGACAGGTTTGCCAGCGAGTAGAAAACATGGACATAGGATGGTTTGCTTGTGATTGTGATCTCTGTGTGCGTGTGTGTTTTGCTTTGTTTTTTCAAAGAAAAGTGTGCCTGTGCCCATGGGTCCAACATTTCTGCCACTTTGCTGCTGATTGTCACTTCCTCATGGAGAGGCAGGCTTCCATCCTCCCCGTCCTGGTCATTTAACTTCTGCAGCCACAGCCTCGTGGACCACGCACCCGAGCTCACATGGCGTCGGCAGCAGCTGCCTTTTGCTGTGTAATGTGACCCCCGTCGCTTGGGAACCCAGAGCCTGATGCAGCAGGAGCTGCAACCGCGGTATGGACGGGGCTGCCCTGGGGAGGTTGGCTTCCCCAGGGCCTCTTCCCCAGCGAGATCCTGGAGACAGCAAGCCGGCAAAGCCGCAGG